TGTTATATACGTATATATGATCCATAACATGTATTTGAAACTTGTTATGTATTTGAAGTATGTATCTAATTATTCGATATCAATCTTTTCAATGAAATTTGATTCGATAAATGTGCATTTTGGCTTTGGTGGGTCTTTACTATCGGTAACTGCGCCAACAATGAATTTATGATTGTCGTAATTCCATAAAAATGTGATCTACAACGATCTCTTGAAGTATGACCAAATACATAACAAAACTATCTCAGATACATGACAAAACCGTCTCAAATATACTAAAGAAAACACACTAGATCATGACAGAAAGATCTCAGATACATAGAATAACATGCTCATATACATGACATAAAACAACTCATATATATTTAATAGAAAATACATATATATATTTAATAAATAAGCAAATATATAGAATAAAGATATATACATAGAAGAAAGAGAGATACGTAGATGGAGGGTAAATACATAAAACATTTAGATACGTCTAACAAACATTGTATAAAACATTTAGATACGTCTAACAAACATTGTATCTCTACAAACTCATCGTAAATTCACCAAGTCCGGAACTGAAATCCAGCGCTGATATGGCTCTGGATCTTGCCTTTCAACTTTTTTTTCTCCATTCTAACAACCTGTTTTCGGTTTCGATAGTTGTTGTACTATCCATCCCCGTTTCCGACGATGAAACACCATCGCCGGTTAAGATTGTATTGTTTGGTTTTTAATTTAATTTTTGATGATTTAGTGAAGAAGATCTATGAGGGTGAAGGAAGTAAGAAAGAGAATGAGAAGATGAACTTGGCACATGAGATTGAGGAAGAAGGAAGAAAAATATGGTAAAGGTGATGGAGAATGTGGGTGTGGGGGTGGGGGAGATATACAGTTCATAAGAGTTTGGGGGGGAGCTGATGAAATTATTGGACCATTAATTGGGGAAACAACTTAAGAGATGTGAGAGAAAGTAGTTTAAATTATTAATGTACCTTTAATTAAGGAGTTTAAATTTTAAGATAATTATTCAATATCATATTTAATGAATTTGTGTATCTGATTTAACTTTTTCAAATATATGGTATATAATTATTATAAAGTGGTAGTATGAGTAATATTTTTAAACTATATATGTATATATGGTAGTTAAGTATGTTTAATTATGTAGTTTTTTCATTCAAGGGCATATCCCAATATCAATAATCCAATAATAATTTTTATTTTAAAACTATATATGTATATATGGTAGTTAAGTATGTTTAATTATGTAGTTTTTTTCATTCAAGGGCATATCCCAATATCAATAATCCAATAATAATTTTTATTTTAAAACTATATATGTATATATGGTAGTTAAGTATGTTTAATTATGTAGTTTTTTTCATTCAAGGGCATATCCCAATATCAATAATCCAATAATAATTTTTTGATTTGAATTATTAATTATGATTCAATTTTAGTCCATACGTAACCCCATAGGCCATATGTCACCTTGGTGGATTTGTGATTTTTAAAAATAAATAACCGAGGAATAATTGAAAAAGAATAACAAAGTAAATAAATAAAACTAAAACAGCGTTTCTTATCTTGTTTCCTCTAAGCCTAGCACTGAAGATTAAAGAAGAAGAAGAAGCTGAGTTCAGCAATGGTTGCTCAATCTTCATCGCAATCAATGGCTGAAACATCGAAGCAAAATTGTGTGGTGTCAAACTGTTTAATTTCACTACCTTTCTCATTCTCAACCCCTCCATTCTTCAAACAACTCCCAAAATCAAATCTACAGTTGGCACAAACTTCATCAAATGCCTTTCTTCATTTTCACAACTCCTTACTCTCCACAGCTGAGAAATGCTTCACCTTTCTGCATTCTTTTCTTGCCTCTCAACCCCTTTTCAACAAAATCATGAACTTCTCTTCACATTTCTCTCAGGTACCTACTCTTCTCTCTTATTTCAGTTTCTATCTCCAAATTTATTCAACTTTCATGTTATGATTTCTCTTTCAATTAACTTTTACTCAAATTTAATAGCGTGTGACCTAATCGTCATGTTCAAATGAGATAAAAAAAAAATTCTAGGTGATTTGTTTTCGTCTGTTCTAGACTGATTAAAAAATGATATTTGTGATTTTGCTTTGTATATTTGTTGCAATGTGGGTACACTTGAAAATAATTATCCTATTCAAAAGAGAGATATGATAGTACTTGATAATGTAACACTTAGGGTAAAACAATTCAAAGTGTTTATCACAAAAGATGATATTTTTTGTAGATGTATTGGGTGATATTCCTCAAGGGATTGTAAGGAATTAATATTGTACTGTATAGACTCACTACTACTGTAAATGTTTTACATTTTTTTATAAAAGAAAATTCTCAGTTTGGAATAGGAACTAGGAGGAAAATTTTGTGAAATGTGCATTCTCTCAGTTGTTTTGTTGGACATATCCGTCAGTTTCTCTGTCAAAGAAATTTCCAGTTCTTCTTTCCAAGTGAAAGAAGGTTATATAAAGGCTAGTGTGGATTCTGTATACATGAGAACCTCTTGATGAATGACACTCATTTCTTCAAGCATTGTTAGGACACACTCAGAAGTTCTTACCAGTAGCCAAATCTTAAAGGAGAAACAGTTAAAAATCACTGATACATAAGCTTTTAGCTGATCTGGCAACTTATTATTGTTTGACCCCAATTTTTAGAAAAATGAAATTGAATCTTGAAATACTCGACTCATTGCAAGTTCCCCTCAATTTGCAAATTCACAACTCCTGGCTGATTCCTCTTGTAAATACGTGTGAGCTGTATCGTAAAGTCTCTAAGTTCTCTGATGAAACGTTATATTCATTGTTCTTGAAGTTTCTAAGTTTGTTTCATGCAAATAATCTAATTCTTTATCTTCTCATGTCCCTTCCTTTTCTTACATAACAATTTGCTTTCTTGTTACTTGAGAAATGATAAGTTTCTCGGCTTGTTTTATTGCCTTATATGATTTTATCTGTGTAATAATTTGAGTATCCTCAACTGAATTTACTTCCAGGTACAGTGCAGGACTTACCAGAACTTGGGTAATCTGTCCCATCACAATTTTGCAGCTGTCTTGCCTGGTGACTCAGTTGCAGGAATTGTTGTTGCAAATGGAATTATAAATTTCTTGAACATCTACAATTCATTACTGGTTGTCAGACTTGTTTTAACCTGGTTCCCAAATGCTCCTCCTGCCATTGTCAGTCCCCTCAGGTATGCTTTATAGTTCAACAATGTCTATGATTCAAATGATGCTTTATTATAATCAATTAAAGCGATGACAACTTTGCATACTAGGGACATATATGCTGAGGAAATAAATTGATAAAGTTTTAAATAGTGATTCGTGACAGTCCTCAAAATTCAAGCATCAAAATGGCATCCTCTTACTTCAATGAAACTGATGGCTAATTATCCATGAAGAAAACGGGAAAAGAAAAGACACTAATAACCAAATTTTTATTGGTAGCTCGAGTGTGTTTTGCCTCACTCAATTCACAAATTCTTGTATTGTTTTTTATTTTACTTTTGAGACAATATCAGCACATTTTGTCTTCTGTTTGTGGCTTTGCATTGATGAATCAGATTGAAGGATTAGGAGTTTCAGTGTTATATAAATAGTCTTCCCGGGCCTTATTAAAAGAAAAACAATAATAGTAATCCTTGGGCAGATTGTGTGTACTTGTTGCATAGTTGACCTGCTTCTTTGTTATAATATTATGGGTCAACATCATGCAAAGTATTTAGAAAAGCTGAGCTGTGTATTCTTCTCATTTGAGCATTCATAAACTGTGGATAGTGTAGTTTTCAGGACTTCCTTATTCTAAGTAATTTTTAACCACTTAGCGAGGCTGGTGTCAGTCAGGTGAGTATTCCAGAATCCAACTACTTTAATATCTGGCTCAATTGTGTGTGAAATGCATACTTTGTTAAGAATAATGGCTCAATTTTGTGTGAAATCTGAAACGCGTACATTGTTAAAAATGTTGTATTCCTTTTCAGCACTCTATGCGACCCATACTTGAACATATTCCGTGGGATTATTCCACCACTTGGAGGGACTCTGGATCTTTCACCCATATTGGCATTTCTTGTTTTGAATGCCTTCACCAGCACTGCATCTGCACTTCCTGCTGAACTTCCATCCACGACTGTGAGAGCATCATCAGATACTCCACACGGTGCACCGATATTTCATCTTACTACATCGCAGAAGAAATGGATGAGGAGACTTTCTGGAAACAAGTCAAAGACTTCCGATGATGAAAGTTAAGCTGGTTTCTGCTCATCATTCATGTATTCACCAAATGCTAAGCCATACTCTGTTGACACTACAATTTGACATTAAAATGTAAAAATGTACTACAAATTGGATTTATTTTTTTCATGTAAACCAGAAAGCTTTTCATCACTCTCATGTAAAGAATTTCGTCAGTTAAGTAGCTTTTATATCTTAAAGAGAGGTGATACTAATAATCTTTGGCTCTGTTCGCTTCTTTTTGGATAGGAGGTTATGTCACTATCAAGTGAATATGTTTTTGATGGAGGCTCCGATAACCTAGTAGATGACTTGTCTAAAATCTTTCTCTTTAGTTCTGGTAGCTAATTTTCTGTAGGTTACATGCTTACAGCATCATCCCAATTCCTTTTATGGGAATCTAGTTCATAAACTGCAACTAGTATAGTTTTGCACTTATGTGCAACCTAAGGATGTGGCAATTGTCAATGAAGCTGGTGAAATCATGGGCTCAAAATAAACAAAAAGAAAAAGTTCCCCACTAATACTTTGTAAAAATAGAGAGATTCCAGGTTCATGCAGCCAGAATCAGATGCCAAACTACACAACACCACTTGTAGCTGCCTTATCTTCCAAAAGAATATCAACTTTTTCACTTTCTGGAAATATCCTCAATCTAAAGGGTCACTCTTTTTTCTTCTAAAAGGGTTACTTTTGATGCAAGGATAACAAGGGATGGGAATTCACTAGAAAAAAAAAAGATTCTGAGAAATTAAAAACAATTTAATAACCAATGGCCCTATCAAAGGTCTAACTTGAGGAAGCATTGGTGACTACTATATTCAATGGAGCAGGAATCTTTAAGCAGGAGAGGCAGGTTTCCTACAAATGATAAGAGGTTTTTGGCCATAGGCATTGGACTTGTGGCTGTCATCTCTCCTCTATACATTGACAGTAGAAAAAACACTACTGAACCCCAGCTTGAAGAACAAACCATCCTTCCCTATCTTCCACTGCTCTTCTTGATCACCCTCATCATGAGCATAAGTATTTCTCATCAATTGGCCCGGTTCTCATCCTATGATCATAGGCTTCTAGCCATAGGTCTTACACTTGTTGCCATACTCTCACCTCTGTACATCGACAGGAGAAAGTTAGTCGATCCAGAGCTTGAAGAGCAATCACTTGGCATATCTTCTTACTTGCCATTGCTCATGTTGTTTCTCATCATTGCCATTGCTATGTCATGCTACTTGGATCAGAGCTTTACCAGGTTCGATCCTTACTGGATTCACAGGGTTGGTGGTTCTTCCACTGGGATTCTCATATTTCTCCTTGTTCTTGCATTTGTTTTGAAGTTTAAAGCACTCTAGCATGAATAAAAAAAGGGCTAAAATATGTGCCTTGTATGTTTAGTGTTCATGTGTGGTTTGGAAAAGGGGGCAAAAAGACTTTTCGGACTAAAGCAGCAGCAAAATTGAAGTAAAACCAACTCAAGACTTGATTTCACCATTGTCGTTCTTGACCGTAAGGAATCGAGCAATCATGTATTTGATAGTTGCTACATCCATAGATAATTACTTCCTCTCTCCCAATTTGTGTAGGTGTTTGATTGGGTACAAAGTTAAAAATGTGAGGAAGACTTTTGAAATTTATGATCCACAATAAGCCATAGATATTTCTGTGGCTATAAGTCTCTCGTTAAGGTGTTAACTGACTAGTTTAAAATTAGACAGTTACTCGTTCTTTTTGTGACCGACCGACTAAAAAGACGAGTGTCACATGAATTGGGGGACACAGGGAGTAAAACGTTACCCACCCCTTCAATATAGAACTGGTTAGTTCAGCAGCAGCCACAAATTCATAAGTTGAATCGAGAGATCTACAAAGACATAATGCATTTTGAAGTGAGCACCAAGCAAATCATGATGACTTGAAGAATGATTTAGCAATAAGGTGATAACTTTCATATTAATCAACTCGATGTAATCTATTGTCAGAAAGAAACAAGCTATAACATCGAGGACAAGAGATGTATTGCTTTAAGCCTATTTAGCCAGATTTTGGCAGCCATTTGTAGTCTAGTGATCATGTATGACCTGTAAAGTAAGGAAGAACAGGCTGTTCCAAAGAAAAGATTACAACTAAAAAAGACAATTTCTATTTGTTCCAATAGGTGCAATGCTGTGCATTGAGGAATCTTTAGATGCATCGTCAATCATCATGTCAAGTGTCCTTCATGAATTAGAAGACATCACTGCTGGTGAATATTTCAACAGAGCTTCCACGCCATCAAACTTGCTAATATCAAATATCTGGGTCATACCCAATCCAATGATCTGCACTACAGTGTTTGAGTGGCCATTTTTGAATACATCTGTTATCTGCAAGAAAAAGCAAGATTTTGCAAATTATCAAACACTCTGATTCTTAAATGCTACCCCAGTTCTAAGCTCAGTGAAACCTCAGAAAGAGATCGTAAATATGATAAGGACTTAAATCAGAAAGGACCAGACGACAGTGAAAACGGAGAATGCACAATAGAGAACTGGATGAGGTAAGAAATGATGGATGACAAGTTCCGCTCATAGAACTACCACCTTTCTTATCTGTTCCGTATCCCTTTCACTTTGTAGATCATAATTGCAAAAGTGACAGTTGGCCAACTGATGCTGACACCAACTAATTGGAACAGGAAGCCCCGGCAGAGAGAGCCAATAAATTTAGTGAATTCAGAAGGTGTGCCGCTAATTGAAAAGATACTAGAATTCCAGAACCATTTCTTGTGATATAGCTATAGCAGACAGTAGTGTAATACATGGATATGAGCCAAGAAAACGATAATGTGCATCAAATAGGTAAACACTTGAAAATGCCAAAAATGAAATTGAAAAACTTGTTAACTATTGGGTTGCCCAGGCATACCTGTGAACAGCCAAAGAGTTTGAGTAGCTTGAGCGACAAGCAGCTGTCTACAATCAGCCCTAGCTCGTTGTCACTTATTCTGCGACACCATGATAGGTCCAAATGCAGTAACTTTCTTGAAAGTTTGGCTAGTGACAAGGCAGTGCTAGTGCTAACCTGTCAAAGATCACCAGTCACTAACAAAGCAGGTAGTACCAAAAAGAAACCAACACTTTTTAGGAAAAGTTAACTATATGACTTTCCCCTGCTATTTACCAATTCCCAAGGAATTGATCTCTCTCTCTCTTTCTATTGTAAGAGAAGACCACACATGGGCAAAATGCTTGACATATTAACAAACTCAATAAAAATATGATATAGATCATATCCTAGTTATTATAACTTATTGCTAAATGTAGAGGGCATGAATTTTGCAACACAACACAAATTACGAATGAGATTATCATCAGACGCTTAAATGCAGGCCAACAGCTAAATCTTGTGTACAACTCAGGAATCTAAAACTATTCAGTAACTCTACACAGAAATATTTGAAGAAACTAGCAATATCATTGGGCTTAATAAGCATATTTGAGAGTGGAATAAGTATACCTTAGAGCAATTATTCAGTGAAAGTTCCTCCAAACATGCTCCAGAAGCTTCCAAAAATGCAGCAATCCCTTCATCACTAACATGCAAAGTACATATTAGATCGCAACTTGCATAATAAGAAAACCAAAAATGATGGTGCGAACAAATTTTTGATTATCCTTAAAACTGCCACAATGCATATAAAATTACATTAAAAGCTCTCCTATGTCAGAAAATGTTGAATATTTGCTTTAGAATTGCAAGCTCTTTTACTGCAGTAATCTTATTAAGATAGATCTAGTCAACTAATTAGACCTAGTATTTAGTAGTTGATTTCTATTTGAATTTTGAATAAATAGCATTTTTAAGACTTGAGAAGTTTGTTATTTTCAACCGATTTTTTTTTGCTTATCTTTAGGTTTTGAAGTTAGTATTCTATTATAAATTAGTATTATATTGCAGTAAAATAATATCGAACTTTCAACTTCATTTCATAAGTTCTTTTTTTTGTTGTTCTCCGTTCTTACTCTTTCGTTACTCCTAAATATTTTCCTGCAATTTCTTCTCTTTCAAAACAAACCATTGGTATCTAGAACTATTTTTCTTGAGGTACCAGTGAGTGAAGAGATGGATTTCGAAAATAGTTTTTTCACAAATGGCTCCTCCTATTTCGACGGTGAAAATTATCAATTATGGGTTGTGAGAATGAAAACTTACTTGGAGGCCCTTGATCTTTGGGGACTCGTGGAAGACAATTATGAAATTAATCCGCTGCCAAATAATCCCACAATAGCTCAAATTAAGAGTGACAAGGGAAAAAAAACCCCATGAAGTCCAAGACGAAAGCAACTCTGTTTGTTGCTGTTTCAACAACTATTTTCACGAGAATTATGTTTCTCACATCACTACAGGAAATTTGGGATTATCTAAAGAAAAAATAAGCTAGAGATGAATGAACACGTGGGATGCAAGTATTAAATTTAATAAGGGGATTCGAGTCCAGAGAATGAAAGATTCTCATACAGCCAAAGAATACTCAAACATATCACTTGGCATTATTAACAAGGTAAGACTGCTAGGCACTAAATTTAAAGATTCAAGATTTGTCGGATTTTTTTAATTTTGTAACAGTACCTGAATGATGAGTCATGTATAGACCTTGGGAAACACAAGATCTGTCCAAGATTACCTTGGCAAAGGAGCAAAGGAGACTTGTGAGGCAAGATAGAATGGTTGAAAGAGCCTTAGCCGACAGTCACAAAACTCAGAGCAGGGGTAAAATTTAAAAAATTACCCACCTTGTGAGCACTGGAAAAAATGGATCATCCACCACTCAGATGTTGGAAAAGGCCGAAAGGTGAAGTGCAACAAGTGCCATCAGCTTGGTCATGAAGCAATGATTTGCAAAAATAAATCTAAGAACCATGAAACAGATGCACGTGTCGCCAATCAAGAAGAAGAAGAAGACCATCTTTTTGTTGCAACATACATCTCAAGTAAGGTTTCAGCCAAAAAAAAATGGTTAACTGATAGCGGTTGCACTAACCAAATGACTTACGACAAGAGTTTGTTCAAGGAACTAGCCTACTGAAATTTCAAAGTTTAGGATCGAAAATGGAGACCAAATTCTTGTTGAAGGAAAAGGAATTGTCATCATCAAAACAAGTTGATGTAATAAGACAATTTCAGATGTTCTATATGTAACCTCATATTGATCAGATTTGTTGAGTATTTGTCAGTTGGTAGATAAAGGATTCAAAGTATCCTTTGAGGATAAACATTGCTTCATCAGTGATGATACTGAAAAAGAAATGTTAAAAATTTAAGATGAAGAAAACATTTCTCATTTGATCCAATGGAAGATGTTCCTGTAGAACATGCAAAAGATCAAAGGCTGAAAAAAATTAGAAGATGATCTTCCAATTGAAAAAGCACAAGCAAAATGTGAACCTGCTAGGCTTAAAGAAGCTTTCAATGTTCCCAAAAGAATTGAAGCAACGGAGGAGTTGTCTATGTTCAGGAAAATAAAATGGATAAGTTTAATGTGAAGACGCTAACGGAGAAAGAAGACATGCCAAAAAGATTTAGTAGTCAAGGGTTGCATTCAAGTCGATAAGTGAATTTAGATCACTACAAGTCCAAAGAAGAATCTGCAGATTTAGCGACAAGGTCACTTTCGGTTATCAAGTGTGAAGATTTCAAGATTGAAGTTCAAAATTTTACAGTTGCTAGCAAGGAAGAGTGTTGAATAATTGCTTTAGAATTGCAAGCTCTTTTACTGTAGTAATATTATTAAGATAGACTTACTCCACTAGATAGACCTGGTATTTAAGAATATTAGTATTTTCCTGCAATTCCTTATCTTCCAAAACCATTAGAAACAAAACCTTGTTGCTGTTTACTGGTACATCATGAAGATATAGGCAGCAACTCTTCAAGTAATCCATTGCAATAACGGATTAGATATAACATTATCATGATGACAAAATATATGACTTGGAATAGTCATCATGCTAATTATTTAACACATACAGTTTCATTTATCAAGGAGTCAATTCACCAGCTATAACCATGATATCAGAGTGAAAAAACTGAAAGACTAGTTTACTCATGGTATATGTTATTGAAAAAGGGGGAGCTAATAAAAAGTGGGAACAACATGCCAGTATAATCCACAAGTGGGGTCTGGGGAGGGTGGTGTGTACGCAACCTTACCTTTACCTTGGGAAGGTAGAGAGGTTGTTTCCGAAAGACCCTTGGCTCAAAAATCATAAATCAAGTATGTAAAGAAAATACAATAGGGAGAAGTCATGCAGAAAACAATTAAGAAGAGAATAAGTAGCAACAACAACTAATACGGTAACTAATGCAAAGGAAACAACAGGTAGTACTAAAATCGAAGAGTAAGATAGGAGAGTAATAATAACAATACTAATGAAGGAACTAGACAATGCTCAACTACCTCCAAACCATTTACCCTAATCCTCGGCCTCTAGATCTTCCTATCTAGGGTCATGTCCTCAGTAAGATACAGGTGAAGGAACTAGACAGTGCTCGACGACCTCCAAACCTTTTACCCTAATCCTCGACCTCCGTATCTTCCTATCTAGGGTCATGTCCTCGGTAAGATACATGTGAGTCATGTCCTGTCTAATCACTCCTTCCCAAAACTATTTCAAAAACCTCTCACACCTCCTCGTTGGGCATCTATGCATCTTTTGTTCACATGCGTGAACCATATCAGCCTCCCTCCTTCATTTTGTCCACCATGGAGGCCACTCCCTCCTAGCCTCGAATAGCTTCATTCCTGATCCTATCTCTCCACGTATGTCCGAACATCCATCTCAACACCTTCATTTCTGCTACTCTGATCTTCAGGACGTGTGAGTTCTTGATCGGCCAACACTCCTTCTCATACAACATAGCTTGTATGGCTAATCTGACGATCACTTTATAAAACTTACCTTTAAGGCTTGTGGCACATTCTTATCACACAAGACATTGGATCAGGTTTTCATTTCATCCACCCCGCTCCAATACGATGTGTAAGACCATCGTCAATTTCCCTATTTCCTTGGATTATTGACCCCAGATCTTGAAACTTCCTTTCTTGGAGATGACTTGTGTATCAATCCTTACTTCCACATCTACCCACGTGTGTTACGTCAATTAACTTGCACTCCAAGTATTTTGTCTTAGTCTTGTTGAACCTTAACCCTGACAGGGTCTGTCTCCAAAACTCCAACCTATTGTTAAACTTTTATTAGACTTATAATATTAAGTGGTAATTCTTCTACTTTAGTTGGAGGATATGTCATTAAAACTGATGTGGAGGCATAATTTGATCAACTTAATAACCAAGGCCAGGGACCACTCACTCGCACCTCTCTCATACACCCATTCTTTCCCACTGATAAATGATAAGTGTCTCCCTTTTCACCACTACATTGACTGCAAGAAAGTCTAAAAGCAATTGCTTAAAGTTAAACATAGGATAATAATGAGTTGTTCAACCTTAATTGCTTCACGTCTAACCCCATTTCCCAAGGGGGTGTCAGAACAAGGAACTACTACTAGGTTCCTGCCTGACTCCTAATTCTTCTAGTGCCTCTCCTTTTCTATTGATGACAACATGCACCAATAGAAATGATTCTGTTTGTCTCCCTTGTTCTGGTTGTTTGTAAGGCTCCCGGAAGCTAATCTTACCTCTAGCATCTTTATTCACGTGAAAGGCACAACAGAATAATATATTGCGGGAGCCTGTGTAAAAGACCCCTCAAGAAGGCCTTACCTTATATGTTGAGACCTATGTTGCTTGGACTCTTAATTATGCTAATGGTGTGTGCCAACTCTTCAAAATTAGTGCATTTTAGACAATCCGACATGAGTGCGGCTACGTTTTTGGAGAGTCTAAGCAACATAGGTTGAAACCAATCTCTTCCTTCTCAGAGCTGAGCTCTCTTTCTGAGCTTCACTACCCTAAGGAATTAAGAGGCTTCTACCAATCATAATGCAAGTTAAACACGCAGGGTAGACATGTTCAATATATCATAGCAAGTTCTTTAGCTGCTCGTCTGCAGGAAAAGTCTACGCATGCTGCAGCATGTCAAAGTATGGCCAATTCCAGGACACTGCTTTCTTCTTGGTTTTTTCCTTTAACGTGCAGTCCAATTTCTCTGAAGAACTTTTTAAAGATGCTTCCAATATTGAGAAATGGAAAAAGAACACGATCCAAAAACAAGTAATTACAGAAGTAAATTGAAGGTCCGTACATAAAGTACTTTTTGTTTTGTTTTGTTCTGAGCTTATCTGGTATAGAAATACCATCTCAAAGTTGCTTCCCATATATATATGTCTATTCCTTTTAGGGGTATATGGACAGTGAAAACTTGATTTGTTCTGACTAAGGAAAATGCTTGGCGACAAATTCTTAGTGAAAGAGCCATCATTATTGCCATTAAATATAGTAGCATAACTGAACATTTCAAGAAGCAAACTGGATATCAGGACCAAACCTGAAATTATTACGGCAAAATATGAGTTTCCGGATTGATCGACAACCATTCGCGAGAAACTGCAGTCCAACATCTGTCACTTCATTCAACTTTGAAATATTTAATGAATCCAAGTTAGCACATGCATCTCCAATAAACTTCAGGGATTGATCAGTCAGATTCCTGCATCCAGAACAGATGAGGTTAAAAGACTAAATTAAATCTAAATAATGTGAGTATTTAATCTTCACCAACTGTGTCATAGTAAATCGAGAAGTGGAAGTAATATTTACTTACGGGCAGCGGGAAATATCAAGCTCTTTTATATTTTGACCACGTGCTGTAAGTAACTCGCTTACAAACTGATCACATACACTATGAATTCCAGCTACCGACAACAGTTCCAAATGCTCCATCTTCTCCAGTGAAGGTAATATATGTATTGCATCTATGCTCTGGCAATCATCTATACAGAGCTCCTTGAGAATTGATCCCAATGAGTTGGCTATGATACCAATACTAGCGTGGGTCAAAAGGGAGCACTGACTCAAATCAATGGATTGTAGAGAAGGTGCTGATGTAACAAGTATTTCCAGAGCTCTATCAGACATCCGACAAGCACCCCTCAGTGACAAGATGGCTAAATTAGGTAAGCTATTTGAAGCCGTAGCAATGGTTGTACCCAACACATGATCAAGTGTGGGTTGTCCGCATAGATCTAGTTGTAGCACCTGCTTCCAAGCCAGAAATGTATAAGAATCATATCAGCTTACAGAATCATCAAAATAAAGTAATAGCAGTAGTAGTAACGACAACAATAACAATAATTGTATATCTAATATCAGCTCCCAGCAACAAGGTAGAAAAAGAAGGTATAGAAAATTATGCAGTCTGATAAAACAACATTAGTGAAAATAAAGGCAATCTTAGAAATGCATGAGTCTACACTTCCAAATTTATCAGCAAGTAATGAGGACATCAACTTGAAAAAACTTCTATCAAATTCATGTGTATCAGCAGCGAGAAACAAAACAACCAAAGCCTGTTCTTGGGCTACATGTGTAGAAGTATATACATCAAGATGTTTTGCACTTCACTTTAGGGCTTAAGCGCGCCTTTGAAAACAGTGATAGCACCAAATGCCTCCTCCACTAAAGGAGTTCATATCTTCCTGGTGAGTTGTCAGCCAACTCTCTCAATTGAATTCAAATGATTTCTAGCCATCCCACAAAGACTGCCTTCCTTTCTATTTGGTTGATAATGAAACTAGAGAAGTTAGATAACTTATTTATCTTTCACGCCACCATACACTAGGCTTAAAGTTACTTTGAGAATCAAATCACTAATTCTGCTATCAAAACTGTACATGAGAGGGTTTTCTGGCATAGTAAGTGAAATCTGTAATGGAAGGTGGTAATTCAGAGAAAGAAGATCTAATTTTGTTTTTTGGTAATGGATGTTTTAAGTAGAAATCTGGAAGGATCAGTGAAATGAGAGAGGATTGGTCCATGAATGATCAGAAATGGTTTGGGGTGTGCCGAAATTCAAGAGAGATGTTATACATTCATTCTCTACCAAACTGGCTCCTAGCCTCCTACTAATTAAGCTTCTCAAACTTTCCCAAATAATTTCCTTACCATATTATGTTAATTCTATGTGCTACATTTTGATCAATCGTGTCATTCTCCTGAAAACCGAATCTAGGGTATCTAAATTGTCTGCTGCATTTAGGCATCAGAATCACATCCAATCTCACTAGACATTCGTTATTTTTATGAGAACTAAACTTATCCTGCCATACTCTACTTATCCAAACACTCGTACACTTTAAGGTGCTTATTCATAGTTGCTACTTTTGATTAACAAACTGTAAAACAACATTAATGAAGTAAGGCTTACTTCGACATTGCATAACAGTTCACACTTCAAAAGTTACCAGAAAGAATGAGGACATCAACTGGAAAATTTCTAGCAAAATCATATCAGAAGCAAGTAACAAAAAACCCAAAAACCTGGGTTATATGCCAATGATTTTGGGTTACCATGAACTACACACAGGCTTTTCTCCATTTATCTCCTTTCAGGAAGTACTTTATGTAGTTTGTCTCAAAAAAAGGAAGTACTTTATGTAGTAATTCTTCTATCTACCTCCAAAAGGAACAATAAGGGAGTATAACAAGGTTAATTATTCAGATGAAAAACCACAGGGCCGACTCTTTTAGAGTCCACCAAAACAGATACAACTTCATAAGGTCCAACAAACCATTTCACCAAGAAGCTAACTACTTCACTGAAATTGTGCTACGGCTGTCCATGTTGCAAAAGGAATGTCGGATTGTTGGGAGAAGAAATTAACTTGACTATAGCAACAGCCCTGTTTAGGGATAATGTTTAAATCCTTTAGCATTCTCAGGAGACGATAGGAAGTCACAAATGATTTTTTTTAACAATATGTGTAAAGAACAAAGGCAATCTTGCCAGGACGAAAAGAAGATGATGAGAAAAGAATGTAGAAGTAGAGAAAAGTCACAGGATGGTGACCAGAAGTCAGGTTGAAATGTCCCCCTCCTTTCCCAAGAATAAAGGTATTAATATTATAACATATGCACCAAAAGTAGTACTCCATGAAGCATGACAAAACAACCTACTGAAAACACCCTCCCTAAAGGTCTGCTGCCCTCTTCTCTGCCATCCCCACACCTTGGAAAAAGTAGAATATATTTTGTAAATCTTTAGAATAACACAGTTTTTGAGACAACAGAACAGAGTAAGAACCATCCAAACAAAAGTATATACTGAACAGAGAACACAAATAAAGGAAAGTAAAGCTCGGCAAATGTTTTTAACAGATGACACTATTCTGTTGTCATTCTACTTACATGCTCTGTTATCTCTCTACCAACCTTTGTGCAAAACAAGGAAAGAAAAGTTCATAAGAAACTCTCAACACTAAGAATTATCTTCTGTATCTTTTCTCCTGTGGTAGGAAACTTGTGTCATTCAAGAAGTAGAAAGAATAAATCTGTTGCTTGATAAGTATCCCTGCGTCCTTGACTGCTCTTTAGTTTTTCCCTAGCCTTATAGTGGTTGTAAGTATCCCCACAAAGGTTTCTAAATGTATGCAACAATAAGATTACTCCAATTATCCAACTGTATAATACTACAAATCACACTTTAGTTCTACTTTCTAGTAACCTAATCATAATTTGGCAGAAACATTTCAGAGAATAATATATGCCACATTAACAAAAAACAATAAACTAAAGTTTAAAATGAAGAAGCATAGATTACCATCAAGTTTCTTCTATCAAAGTCTCTAAATGAGTTGCAAAACTGTTCTTCTGTTAACCATGAACAGTCCTTTATGCGAATTTGAGTTGGTGATCCTTGAACAAGAAGGTCCAACATATGAGTACTCATTTTCCTAGAATTGCAGAGTATTTCAGTCAATCTTCCCCTCAAGATATCAGGGATACCTTTGAGAGAAACTATTGCTTCAGCATTTTCTGCAAGGGTTTTCAAGGAAAGATCTAGCAGTGAAGGAAACACACAAGAAAACTCTTTATTTTCAGGATGTTGAGATGCTTCCCATCTAACCACTTTCTCATCCTTTAGTTTAGGTATACGCTCCCTAATCCCCTTCAATGCAGTAGAAGCGAGATTGGGGTTGTTCCCTAGATCTTTAATAGTTTCCAAAGTTGGCAATTTTGTTTCCTGACTAGAAGAGCCTTCACGGGGAGCATCATAGCGTGCAAAGTGAATAGCTCTTTCCCTTAATGCATTTTTTTGTCTTAATGCATGCTCAGCATTCAAATTTTTTCTAAGTTCAACATTTTCAATTGGTAACACATCAACACTTTGTATACGCTGGATGGATCCTAGCTGTGGCACTGTTGAAATAGCCTCGTGCTGCTGCTTGCTGTGTTGCAAGTCCAACTCCATTGGCAAAGTTGTAAGTGCTAACCAAGAGTTGTCAACCTTAGCCTTTCCCTTTTCTTCTCTGGTGTATCTCTCCTCACCGCCCAATGGACTACTTCCACCAATATCCTGGTCTTTGTTCATCACTCCCAACTCAAGATTGCAATTTCGGGAGACATAAGGTATTATTTCCTCAATTTTCTCCATCTTTCCCTTGTTCACTCTTTCTTCCCAGCGATCACTCACACCAGACCTAATTTCATTTAATTCAACAGTCCTCTGAGTATACTTCATCACACCAACTAAAGTACTTCCATCGGCTGCTTCCAGAACTGGAATATTAAAATCAAAACCCAGTTCACTGCCCCCATTAGCATTCCCTAAGTTCCAATTTGACATTTGAATAGTATTGTGACACTCTTCTGGTACCCTTAAAAGTCCACCTTCTTGACACCCAACAATGAATTCTCTGGCACCCACTGCATCATTCTTGATCCCTCCCCCTTTTAAAATGTCCATTTTACCTACATGCCCAATACTTTTATCAAGTTTTTCAAAAACCATGACTTGACTTTTATTCTTTAGATGCTCATCCTTAACCTTTTCTAAAGCAACATTCTCATCAGTATATTTGTGAGAACCAAATATTTCATCATAAAACCTAACTTTTTTAACCACTGAGTCATCTTCCACTCCCTCACTAACCCTCTTCATCCCAATCCCCTCACTCAAATTCAAACCCTCCCCATTTCTTTGATTCATACTCCATGGCTCTATTTCAATCCCCTCACTCAAATTCAAACCCTCCCCATTTCTTTGATTCATACTCCATGACTCTATACCAATCCCCTCACTCAAATTCAAATCCTCCCCATTTCTTTGATTCATACTACATGACTCCATCCCAATCCCCCCACTCAAATTCAAACCCTCCCCATTTCTTTGATTCATACTCCATGGCTCTATTTCAATCCCCTCACTCAAATTCAAACCCTCCCCATTTCTTTGATTCATACTCCATGGCTCTATTTCAATCCCCTCACTCAAATTCAAACCCTCCCCATTTCTTTGATTCCTACGCCATGGCTCCATCCCAATCCCCTCACTCAAATTCAAATCCGCCCCATTTCTTTGATTCATACTCCACGGCTCTATCCCAATCCCCTCGCTCAAATTCAAACCCTCCCCATTTCTTTGATTCATACTCCATGGCTCCATGCCAATCCCATTACTCAAATTCAAACCCTCCCCATTTCTTTGACTCATACTCCATGGCTCCATCCCAATCCACTCATTCAAATTCAAACCCTCCCCATTTCTTTGATTCCTACTCCATGGCTCCACCCCAATCCCCTCACTCAAATTCAAACCCGCCCCATTCCTTTGATTCATATTCCATGGCTCCATCCGAATCCCCTCGATCAACTTCAAACCCTCCCCATTTATTTGATTCATACTCCATGGCTCCATCCCAGTCCCATCACTCAAATTCCTACTCCATGGATCCATCCCAATCCCCTCGCTCAAATTCAAACCCTCCCCATTTCTTTGATTCATACTCCATGGCTCCATCCTAATCCCCTGACTCAAATTCAAAACCTCCCCATTTCTTTGATTCCTACTCCGTAGCTCCATCCCAATCCCCTCACCCAAATTCAAAACCTCCCCATTTCTTTGATTCCTTCTCAATGGCTCCATCCTTATCTCCTCATTCAAATTAAAACCCTCCCCATTTCCTTGATTCCTACTTAATGGATCCATCCCAATCCTATCCCTCAAATTTAAACCCTCTCCATTTCTTTGATTCCTATCCAGTGGCTCCATTCTAAACCAACCCAGAAACTCAAAATTCTGAAATTCCAATCAAACCCAAAACCCCATGAAGAATTCAAGGGTTTTGATCAGATAAAAGGTATCGGTATCAAAGAAACAAAAGTATCAGCAAAAATTTCAACTATTTCAGTGAAATAAATCTCAATTCAAACTCACACAAAAGCATCAAGAAACAAGAGAGAATCAAGAAAATCATACAAAAAGGATGATAACTATGAACTCTCACAAGGGGTTGGAGGAATGGTGTATTGATATAGTGGAGAAGTAGTTGAAGACTATTTACGTAGCATAATCTGTAGAATCTATCTATAATAATGGTCATTTGACGAAGACTATTGTTTTGCAATTGCATATAATTCTGGAAAAGCTTTCACACATGTAGCCCCACAACAAAGGAATCATAAAAGCACTTTTGCTTAGAATGGATGAGTGTATGCTGAGTTGGTTATACTATGAAGTTGAACACTCCGTTTGTTTTTGTTTTTAAAGGAAAATCTTTAAATGATGTAAAATAAATAAAAATGTATTTCCTTTATAGTTTTGTTCAAAAATGCTCTTATGGTCAATACTTTAGTAAAAAAATATCTCTATTGTTATCAAATATGTCAAAAATCTCTTTTTCCAAATAAATATATATATTTTTTCTTTTGAAACACATTTTGTTCCTAATAAAATATTACTTTTTAAAAAAAAACCTTACACTTAATTTTTTTTTAAAAATCACTTTGACTAATAAAAATGTAAGAAAAGATATTTTCTTTTAGAGTAACTCCATACACCCTTTTAATAGATAATAAATGTCATATGTATAAAATCATAGTGAATTCATCATTAATTTTTATTTAGATAAGGATAAAAAACAATTGTAATGTAACATGAAATATTTTTAATTTTTTGCATTGAAGTAGGATAAATATTTGCTAATAATAAAAAAATTATTAGAAAAGAATGTGTTCAAAAAGAAAATAAATAATATATTTATTTGAAAAAATATATTTTTGACTCATTAAGGAACAATTGGGAATACTTTTTTTTTTTAATTACAATTGGGAATACATTTTTAACATAATATAGATATATATTATTTTCAAGAAAAAATGATTGAGTTTTTATTGTTGCTCTAAAAGTGACCGAAGTAATTTTAGGGAAAAAAATATAGAATTGTGAGCACTAATTTTAGGACCATGTAACTATGTATTTGTATAATACACAAGACAATATTATGAGCGTGTAGTCATGTATAAATATTGCATTTAGAGATTTTCACTATCCAATTGTATCTAATTAAGGAAAATACTCAAAGTTTGGAGTCAGGTTAAAATCCCAGATTAGTTGGTGAAGTCAAATCAGAGAGAGAGGGTGTTTGAATCGGTTTAAAAGTTGGTCAAACCTGCTTTTAAGTCAGTTTGGATCGGCTTAAAAGCTGGTCAAACCTGCTTTCAAGTTAGTTTTAACTTCTAAAAGTGTTTGACAAATTTAAAATTACTTAAAATAAGTAAAAAATGACTTAAAACAAGTTATGAAGTGTTTTGCAAGGTTAAAAATAACTTAAAATAAATTAAAAACCAAAAGTAGACTTTCTCTGCTTTTTATTTTTTGACTTTAAAATCATTTAGTTTGATTTTTTATTTTTGACTGAAAAACTATTTTTTTTTTAGCCAATCCAAACATACTCTTAGTTTTGGTGTTACGTGTAACAACAATATGTATTACGTCATTATATGACCTCATTCTCATGAAGAAAACTTATTTGCACTTGTCATAGCTATCAATTAAGTAAATACGCTCGCATAACTTGGTCTTATTGAATTTTGTGTTGCCATATCAACTTAGAATGGCTTCTCAAGGACAATGGCCATCGAAAACACTGCTTCCTTAACAAAATAATTGTGTGGCAAAATGGAAAACATATTCAAGCTATTGTAATTATTATGTCTTCATTAGGATCAAATAAAGGATTCTATTTTAAAGTACTCATATGATATGATCAGTTCATGTGCATAATATATGTAACATTGGATATGAGCAGTGTTGACTATTTCACATTTGGCTCGGGGTGTGACAAACTTGGTATTAGAGCGCAGAGTTCAAGAGTCCTAAGGTGTCTATGAAGACCTGTCTGTAGAATCTTTGTATCAGTGTAAAGCGCATCACATCTATTAATTAAGAGGCTACAACATTTAGGAAACATTTCCCTTCCTTCTTACTCTTTTTTGTGCGATAGAGTTTAACTTTATAAAAGTTTCTTTCTAATTCGTGCTTGCACGTATCTTTTCAGATGTTCAAGGTCGTCCTGCTAGGAGAAATGATGATCCCCAGGATCAAGGGGTTCTCAATACACCAGAAGTGCAACCCCCTCAAGGAGAGGTTACTAATGCTGAGTTCTGGGATGCTATACAGATGTTGAGTCAAGCCGTGGCCAATCAAGCTGGTCAGCAAAGAGGGGTTCGTCAGGATGTGGCTGATACATCCAGGATCCGTGAGTTCTTGAGGATGAATCCTTTAAAATTCACAAGGTCAAATGTCACTGAGGATCCGGAGAACTTTGTGGAGAAGCTGCAAAAAGTGTTTGAGGTTATGCATGTTGCTGATGCTAAGCGAGTGGATTTATCTGCATACTAACTCAAGGGTATTTCTAGGATTTGGTACGACCAATGGAATAAGAGCAGGGCTGAAGGAGCACCAATTGTGAGTTGGGTTGTGTTTGAAAGTGCCTTCATATGGCGTTTCTTTCCCCGTGAGCTGAGAGAGACAAATGTAAGACAACTTCTCACTCTTAAGCAGGAGTCTATGAGTGTGCATGAGTATAGCCTCAAGTTCACCCAACTGTCCTGTTATGCTTCGGAGATGGTTGCTGATATGAGGAGCAAAATGAGTCTATTTGTGTTTGGACTATCTCGCTTGTCAAGCAAGGAGGGTAAGGCTGCAATATTGATAGGGGGCATGGACATAGCAAGACTCATGATCCATGTCCAACAGGTTGAGGAGGACAAGTTGAAAGATAGGGAAAAGTTCCGCAACAAGAAGGCTAAGACAACAGGTAATGAGTCCGGACAATAGAAGGTTGGTAATGCGAATCGGTCATCTTTTCAGCAAAGGCCAACTGGACCTGCACAATCATCTGCTAGTGCACCTGCACCAAAGAAAAGAGGTGAGTTCAAGAATCAGAATTCACAGAACTTTAAAGCTCGACCTTTAGGGTAGTGTGGCATAAAGGACTAATTGGACTCCTGCATGTGCTAATTGTGGTAGAAACCACCCAAGAGCGTGTCATGATGGCTCTACTAGCTACTTCAAGTGTGGTCAGACATGTCACTTTATGAGAGAGTACCCTAAGAACCTGCAAGGTAATGGTAATAGGGAAATAGAGCCCAATCTTCTTCAGCGGCTCCGACAGACAAATCTGCACCTAGAAGAGCTACTTCAGGGACAGGCGGAGGAGCAAACCATGTATGCTATCACCACTCGTCAGGAGCAGGAGAATTCACTAGATATTGTCACTAGTTTGATCAAAGTCTTTACTTTTGATGTATATGCATTACTTGATCCAGGTGCGAGTCTATCTTTTGTGACTCTGTATATTTCTATAAGGTTTGATATTCTTCCCGAATGACTTCTTGAGCCCTTCAGTGTTTCCACATCGGTTGGTGAGTCTATTCTAGCTGAGAGAGTTTATTGTGATTGTACCATCTCTGTCAATCACAAGGACACCATGGCCGACTTAATCAAGTTAGACATGGTGGACTTGTTATGCCTCAGTTGATTGTAGAACTAAGTAGTTAAGTTTCGGTTTCCTAGTGTGCATGTTATAGAGTGGAAGAGTAGTTCAGCAATGCCTAAGAGTCGTTTCATTTCATACCTTAAGGCCAGGAAGTTAGTTTCTAAGGGGTGCATCTATAACTTAGTCCGAGTTAATGACTCTAGTATTGAGACACCACCTATTCAGTCAGTTCCAGTTGTGAGTGAGTTTCCAGAGGTTTTTCCAGATGATCTTCCCAAAGTTCCTCCTGAGAGAGAAATCAACTTCGGTATATATATATTTTTCCTAATACTCAACCTATTTCTATTCCGCCATATAAAATGGCTCCAGATGAGTTAAAAGAGTTAAAAGAGCAGTTAAAATATCTTCTTGATAAAGGTTTTATTCAACCTGGTATCTCACCGTGGGGTGCTCCGGTCTTATTTGTGAGGAAGAAAGATAGTTCTCTTAGGATGTGTATTGATTACCGTCTGTTGAACAAGGTTACTATAAAAAATAAGTATCCTATTCCGAGAATTGATGATATTTTCGATCAAATCTAGGGTGCCACTTGCTTTTCTAAGATAAACCTTAGATCTGGCTATCATCAATTGAGAGTAAGAGAAAGTGACATCCCGAAGACAACATTCAGGACCCGTTATGGTCATTATGAGTTTCTTGTTATGTCTTTTGGCTTGACTAATGCTCCTGCAGCTTTCATGGATCGTATGAACAGAGTGTTTAAGCCATATATTGACATATTTGTTATTGTGTTTATTGATGACATTCTGATTTATTCGAGGAATGAGGAGGATCATGCTAGTCATCTCAGAATAGTTAACCAAACTCCCAAAGATAGAGAGTTGTATGCCAAATTTTCTAAGTGTGAGTTTTGGTTTGAATCTACGGCATTCTTAGACCACATTGTATCTGGAGAAGGGATTCGAGTTGACACTCAGAAGATTGAAGCTGTGCAGAACTGGCCTAGACCCACATCTCCAACTGATATAAAGAGATTCTTGGATTTGGCTGGTTAATATAAGAGGTTTGTCGAGAGGTTTTCATCTATTTCTTCCCCGTTGACTAAGTTGACTCAGAAAATAGTTAAGTTTCAATGGTTTGAATTTTGTGAGAAAAGCTTTCAAGAATTGAAAACCCAGTTAACTACTACCCCAATGTTAACCCTACCGGAGGGTACACAAGGCTTTGTTGTGTATTGTGATGCATCCAGAGTTGAACTTGGTTGTGTATTGATGCAAAATGGTAAGGTTATAGCCTATGCCTCCAGACAGCTTAAGATTCACCGTAAGAATTACCCAACTCATGATCTAGAGTTGGATGTTGTAGTGTTTGCTTTAAAAATGTGGCATCTCTATATCTATAGTGTTCTTGTAGATGTGTTCACCGATCACAAGAGTCTCCAGTATGTTTTCCAGACACAGGAGGTGGTTAAAGTTACTCAAGGATTACGACATGAGTATCCTCTATTACCCAGGTAAGGCTAATGTTGTTGCTGACACTTTGAGCAGGTTATCTATGGATAGTACTTCCCATATTGAGGAAGGCAAGATAGAACTAGCCAGAGATGTGCACAGACTTGCATGATTGAGAGTCCTACTGCTGGATTCCAATGAAGGTGGAGTGGTGGTGATGAATGGGGCTGAATGATTTCTAGTGTTTGAAGTGAAAGAGAAACAATACCAAGACCCTGTTTTGCTT